GACGCAGTGCTACGACGGTGTGAGGAGCAAGAACTCTACGTCAAACTTGCCAAATGCACGTTCTGTGCGTCCGAAATTCCATGCCTTGGTGATTACCTTGGACGTGAAGGTGTTCGTATGGATCCTGACAAAATCAGAGTCATCCGCGACTGGCCATCACCGCGAACGAAGCGTGAATTGCAGTCTTTTCTCGGGACGTGCGTCTACGTGCTCAAGTTCTGCAAGAACTATGCCTCACTATCTGCACCACTCGTTGAGGCTACAAAAGGGAAGACAGCTAAAGAGCAGATTCACCTAACTCAGGAACAGCAAGATTGTTTTGAGCTGCTGAAGGTAGAGTTAACTTCGCCACCAGTCTTGGCTCACCCCGACTTTACGATGGATTTTCACGTACGCATGGATGCCTCGGATTATGCTGTTGGTGGCTACCTCTACCAGTTGGATTCGGAGGGGAAGGAGCGTGTAATTGCGTACCATGGACGAAAGATGAGCCGCGCAGAGTTGATGTATCCGACGAGAGAGAAGGAGCTGTTGGCGGCTTTGCATGCTATGCGGGTGTGGAGAGGCTACCTGATTGACAAACCTTTTTTTTTCTCGTAAATACGGACCACCGTACGCTGCAGTCAATATTGGAGCAAAAGACTTGCTCACAACGGCTGGCGCGGTGGCTGAATGAGTTGAGTTTGTACCAGCCGAAGTTTCGGTGGATCCCGGGTGACACCAACATTGTTGCGGACGCTATTTCCCGGAACGGAAGGTTTCAACCTGATGGCCCCACTCACTTTGTCTCGTTAGCTGGCTTGCTTAGCCAACTTACGACCGTCCAAGATAGCACGGTCGACGAGGATGTATACCTTCAATACACTCGAAGCAGACCCAGTATTCTGGAACAATGCTCTCGGCTTTACGAGGGTGATCCTGTTTTTGGTCCTCTGTACCAGTACCTCCAGGAGGGTCGACACCAGTCACCACCTGTGGAGCTCAATCGGAAACTTCGTGCGAACATCAGCCATTTTTTTCTTGACGATGAAATTCTCTACTATCAGCCGCTGCGCGATACGGCGAGGCGTATATGTGTACCTGACAACCGTGATTTACGAGATGATGTCCTCTACGAGCACCACAATGTAGCCACTAGTGGTCACCCCGGATGTCTGAAGACCCTACTGGCACTGCAAGACAAGTTTTACTGGTTACACATGGAGAAATCAGTGAAACGATATATCAAAACGTGCGAGATGTGCCAGCGCATTAAAGTGTCCCAACGCAAGACAGCAGGCTTGCTCCATCCTTTGGAAGTCCCAGACCGGCGATGGAATCATATTACAATGGATTTCATTACGGGTTTACCACCTTCTGGTCGAAATCAGTACGATGCAGTTTGGGCCATTGTGGATCGTCTCACTAAGAGAGCTCATTTTATTCCTACTACGACAACATGTACAGCAGAGGGAGCCGCAGAACTTTTTCGGGACCAATATCAACGACTACATGGGCTACCACACTCGATTACATCCGACCGAGATACCAAGTTCACTTCGAGGTTTTGGTCGAAGCTGATGCAATTTCAGAAAACACAACTCCAACTGAGCTCGGCGTTTCGACCTGAGACTGACGGCCAAACGGAGAGAACAAACCATTTCGTGGCAGACTACCTGCGAGCATTTGTTTCCCCACGCCAGGACGACTGGAGTGAACTGCTTTCTCTTGCTGAATTCGCATACAACTCGAGAGTTCACTCGAGTACTGGCATGTCTCCTTTTGTGGCCGACATCGGATACAATCCGCGGTCAGTTAGCGATTTAGCATTACAAGTTCATCGTGGGCGCTCAAGTTCCTCTGTCCGGTTTGTAGAGCATCAGCAAGCCGTTCTTACTCAGTGCCGGGATGCACTTGAGAAGACACAAGCCACGATGAAGTTCTTTCATGATCGCAATCGACCAACCTTCCGACTTCAAGCTGGTGATCAAGTACTATTGGACACTTCAAACCTCGATCTTCCTCATCTTGGCGTCACCGGTAAACGCAAACTTGCTCCACGTTTTATCGGACCCTATCCAGTGCTCAAATCTACAACTCCAGACACGTATCAAATTGGACTACCACCCGGATTGAAACTGCACGACGAATTTCATATTTCGTACTTACGACCATATCAGTTGGATGACAATCCGCACCGACTGAACGATGTTCCCAGACTTATCACGCGAGAGGGACACGAAGGCTTCCAGGTCCAAGCTATTATCGCCAAACGAAAACGACACAACAAGATCTACTATAAAGTTCGGTGGTACGGACGTGACGTTGCTGATTCGTGGGAGCCAGCTACCAATTTGACCCAAGCACAGGGCCTGATCGACATGTACGAAGCTTCGCTAGTCGGACAAAGATCAACTCGACGATCAAGACGCTCACCTCCCCGTTAACGCTGAACATCACGCTGGAAGGTATGCTCCTCTTCGGGGGAAAGATTGTCATGGTTCAA